ATTAAGCGACAGGACCCGAGGCCGCCTTGGGGTGGTACTACGAAATTTTGGCAATGAGTTGAATTTGCGCTTATCATTCTGCTTCTGCCCAGCGATAAAGTTACATGCCTGGTTACAAATGCTATTACCAAATTCTTGTTTAAATGAAAGATCACAAGCACTGTCAGCTAGGGTGCTCATACTATCGGTATTCTTTCCAATGTCAACAGATATGTTTCCTATTTGAATCGTTGTTGAGTCACTTTTATACAAGCTACCATGTTGTACACTTGAGATGCCCTCGCTCTTGTGTCGAGCAGCAAGCGGTGATCCCAAACCAGAATCAGCTTCACTCCCTGAGACAAAGGAATATAAGGATCCAATGTCAGAATCATTTTCACTTACAGCTGCCTTCATGTCATTATTTACGCTCAAGGCATGCTTGCTCACATCAAGATAGATTTGATTGGGAGAAACAGCCGTAGTGCCATTCTTGGTTAGTGATGAGGTAGCAGAATCAAATTCCTTTACATCATGTACTAAAAAGATAGATGCATCAGTAGCTTCACTTCTCAAAGGCACATCAGCATGTTTCAATTGCAGCAGAGGATATGATGCATCTTTATGATCCAGACATTTGCTGTCTTCTGTTGAGTCCTATTATAGGAATAATATATAAATCTGGTAAAAATATTTCACTAAGTCTACGTATTCACTATTAATGTGCTTTGTTTTCAAAGCTGAATTACAATTGGCTCAATTCCTTGCTATACTTACCAAACATTTCATTGGGAGTCTTTGGGAATGATCATCTGCTTCTTGTTTTGCAAGAAGCATTTCACCAAAGCCATCTGGTACATCTATAGTTTGTTGTCTTATATCAGATCCAGCATTGTATTCTGGTTCATGCTCTGTTTCTGGTCCGATGTTACACTCTGGTCCACCATCACATTCCATCACACCATCTTGCTCTGGTCTTTTCTTCATCAGATCCTCAGATTTCTCTGTTTCATCTTTAATATTAAGAATTTCATCATGATCTTCAGATTTCTTTGTTTCATCTTTATCATCTTTTTCTTCAGTCTCTAAATCAGGAAGATCCTTTCTAAGAAGATCTGGAGTTTGAACATTTTCGAAACTTTGAAATGGTACCTGAATCTGAGATATAAATATATATGATTTAAAGAAAGTCATTTTCATCAGACACAATCACAGTCACATTTGATTTGGGTTTATATGATCCGGTATAATTAAACAGTGTAACTGTGAAATCATTAAATACCAGCTACACGAAATAACCAGCAGAAAAATCTACTTGATGACAATCTTAATCTTAATCTTATTTTTTTTTAAATATTTTTGTGCCTGGCAACATTTCCGGACTACAATATTAGTCTACAATATTGCAAATTAGGTGCTAAATTCAGTCAACATTAATAACTTGTTAATAGCGACTTAATTTCAGGGATTGACATTGAGAGTTATCTGGTTGTCTCGGACACCCACTTTTCTGGAGGGATCAACAAAACATGAACACTGGCTGCCTATTGTGTTTTATTTTTCAACTTGTTGTATGACCTCTTGCTGTGAAAGTAATTAAATAGCAATGGCTTAAGAGCTTTACTAGGCTAAAATCTAGTTTGATTTTCAGTAGCATATATCAAAGGCACATCAAACTAGGCCCATTGATATTTGCTAAGAAATCAAACCAGTCTCACTGTATCTGTGCTAGGTTAGGTGGAGAATAGACCATTTTCCGTCCACCGCAATATCCCATGTAATGCATGAAATCAAGTGTGAAAACAGAACAAACAAAGGTCATAGTGTCATCAAATTATTCAACAAACATGATAGTATAATTTGATAATGTGCTGTAACATTTGATAATGGTTAGATTTGATGAATGAAGGGTATCTCAATGCAATAATACCCTCTTTAAATATTTACATTAAAGCACGGTAGGCGGCGTGTTGATAAACATTGATTTTCCCACAATCCAATGCGCTCTTCAAATCAAAATCACAAGTATGAGGTTTGACCTGGGCGCGACTTGCACTGATTACTGCCGGTGACTCCTTCGATACCTTCCAATCACATGAAAATTACCCAATTAAAGCTTGGGAACGTGTCAGTTCATACTCGTTGATCTGCGCAACAGTCAAAGTCGCCATCTTTGTTTATATGAGACCCATATATTTCGCACATAAAAAATCAAATCATTCAATTTTTGTGGCAGATGTTCGGTCCGTGCCTTCATGCAATACACATGATCTTGCAATTAATATTACAAACACACTCTGTACCTTTAACTCATTGTGGATAAGAGTTACTTACGTCGGAGGGAATGATATAGTTTCCGGACAAACCATGTCTATTACAATTACATATAATTACGAGGATTAACATAAAAATCAATAAACCAGTGGCTATAGCGATCAGAATTGGCAATAAAATTGAATCTTTATGTCTTTGTCTGCTTTTCTCACCAGCTGATCTACAAATAAATGAAATGTGTATCAATAAATATGGTAGATAATTGTGATTTAGAAAAACATATAAATCAACTAATGTACCAAAAAATCAAAGACTTCACACAATTACTTACACAAGTACCACATGTGACTGATGTCTTACCCTATAATTTGGCAAGCTGCTGGATCACAATCAGTTGGGCATATTTCCATACACGTGTCATTGAAAACAGCCTTACAATACTTGCAATCACGTGGATCTACTCCTCTACATTTCCTATAGCATTCATTTCGACATTCATAGCAGGAATTGTTGAATTCAAGCGTCCAGGAAGGACATTTTGAAATACAGTCATTCCTGTGCTTTTTGTGACGACAACTGCGACAGTCAGACGACAAAGGACCGTGGCAACAGTCACATTCTTTGTGACATGGCTGGCAGATGTTTTCAAAACTAAGCAAGTCTGGTTGATCATGGTAATTATCTTCAGGTTGATTTGCTGGCTGGGTAGTACTATTGCCTGATTGCCCAGCAGTTTCTCCCCCAATGGTGACGTTACTAGCAGGCAAATCTACATCACTTTGATAGACAGCGTTGTCACGTAAACTATTATTATTAAGTGTTTGTAAATCTGGTCTTTGAGTGGATTTATATGGGTTTCTGTCAGTGTTTTCTGTATGTGACATAGACTTTGTCTCCACCATAACACTTGGAAGGATTGGTACATCATGATGGTGAGGTTGACTGGCGACATTCTGATGTGTCGATACAATTCCAGGAGATACAGTTGTAACAGTCACATGATGTTTTTTCTCTACATAGTAGTTATTAGGACAGCTATCAACACAGGAGGTACCAAGGCTGAAGTTTTTACATGGTATGCATTTTCCATTGCTCGTCCCATGACAGCCATCTGTACACTGGGGAGGGCATTTAAGAGAGCACCATACCTGAAAAATTGAATTTACAAATCAATCAAACTTGATTAACAAAAAATATATTTATTACCACATGAAAAACAAATACTATTTATATATATATATAATTTATAATTATTGTTATCCATTATCTTATACTGCCTATGATGATTATTTTATCAATTAAAAATAGGTTAGCAATATTTAAAGTGGGTTTAATTTCACTAATTTTATATATTTATGTTTTACACAGGGTTTTAAATGCATGGAATTGTCAGGAAAACAATGGAATTAGATATTGTAATTTTACTAGATTTTAATATATAGTAGGAAATAAACATTAGTAATCTGTAAATAGTGAAATTAAAACCCAGATTACATACTTTTCCTATACATGTAGACATTCATTAGCTCAAGTATTACAGTACAATGAGTGAACAATATTCTAGAAATTGAATGATACAAATTATGCACAAAACATGGGGTATTATTTATTATACTTCATCATTCTGTTGTCTATGCACATTCTTTTCATCATTAACAAAACAAAAAAAACTTAACAGACTGAACAGAGGAGATTTAAGCACCCACACACTTACCAAGTAAACTAGAAGCGCTATAGTATTAATGCACAAATACCGTCAATTCAACTATAGCTGAGGCAAATTGCATGGTTACCTGCAGTGTTAACAAATTCCAAAATTAAATGTTTAGCAGTAAACTATCAAGAATTCAGTGATGCGCGATCAGACTTTAAGGGTTGTTCATTTTGTTTATACCAATAGACTTTTGGCATCCATCAGATTGGGGATACATTCAGCTACAACTGTAAAATCTACTTTGATTGGACCATCTCTACCGGTATTTTGGTTTTGTTTTTATGTCATTAATTTGATTTGTTCATAAGTTGCATGGAAGAACACTTTGGAATTGATGTATTAAATGTGATGACATGAACAGTAGCAAGACATTTTCAGAATGCACCAGAAAAGACACACCTAGATTGGCAAGATGAAGTGTCATTGAAATAAATTGTGATCTTTTTATATCATCAATTTAACCTTCCAACCCAAAACAATTCAGCTTAGTACTGTGATACCATTATTAATAAAAACATGGTCCAACTGATACAGTAAAATTAGAGCGGGAGCATTCACAACCATTCTGTTGTACTCAGTGGACTTTAAGGTTTCACCTACTGAACTCCAGGGTTTGCACCCATTAATATTTAGGTTGTACTCATTATAGTTTAGGTTGAACTTATTGGACTTTAGGGCATTATCACCCACTATACTTTAGGGATGTATCTATTAGAATTTTAAATAAGGGATGTACCATTAGTTTTGGATTGCAGCCATTGGACGTATAAAGTGGCATATGTCATAACAGACATTGGCAATGCCCTGGCTGAGGATAATATATTACTAGATCACTACAAATTTCAATGCACAATTAACAATTTTATTTATATAAAAATTTATTTCACAGTGGTTCATATTTGGGCCATGACTTTT